AATTGCTGAGCGAGGGTCACCACCAACCTATCACTGCTGAACTGTCATAGGATAGGTTAGTCTACCCAACCCTCATTAATATTATTGTTGTTTTTAGTGGGTGGTGGTGTTAGGCTGTTGTTAGGTAAGTCGAGTATGGTAAATTGAACATTCTAAAGGCATAGTTTTAGTATTTTTTTTTCTTGACAATTTAAACTGGTGAATAGTTTTTTACCTTAAGATTATGGGTATTACCTGAAGAATCTCCAGCCCAGCTTATTTCACCTAAAGATTAATCACCCTAATGTTAGCCTACCTTAACCTCATCCCCATAAATAGTGTTAGGGAGGTTAATCTTAAAGTGATACAAGCTGTGAGGTGGAGATTCTTCAGGTGGCATCCCATTAATATTATACAAGTACAGTAACTATCTGCCCTATCTGATAATCCCGGATAAGATGGGTCCACTTGCTGTCCTTCACCCCTCACACATACGTAAATTAAGTTATAAAATGTGTCTATACTGTGTACTACTTTCAGTTACGAAAGGTAGTGTGTGTGTGATAAGGCGCTACTATAGTACTTAAGTGTCTGTCCCATCGCATGTTCGATAATTATCAGAGATTGGTGGATGATATTAATACTCATTCCAAGAGAATTGTTTATTTATTAAATTACAGATAAACACATTATTTAGGCAAATTTAGGAAATATCCCAATGATGGTGGAAGAGGTTTACCCAATTCTTTGACTGCTAGAAAAAGGTTTTACAATTTCCAGAATTGATGGACGAAAGTCCCTTCTTAAAGGCACTGTATGTAAAATGAGTGGGTGGTGAAAAAGGAGGGTTTTAAGTTAATTTATCTGCGGAAAAGGTGGGTCTGTGGTCACCGTTGTTTATAATACCAATAATTAATTAGTTGAAATATCAGAACTACTGTATACAGTAGTCTGTTTATAACTTCTTTAATTTTAAGTATGACAGTTTTATTGTTCTCAGATGGTTTACTGTTCCTTATAAAGTTATCTTCATCTGCCAGGTCAAATTTTACTTTTTTTACTTTTATCCTCTTCGCCACTGATCGGCTTGTTAGCCGCTTGGGCGATCGGTCACGTCTCTTTTCCTTTATATTCTTCACCAAAAGGTCGGCTCGCTAGCCGCCCGGGCGATCGGTCACGTCTCTGTCACGCACTGTTGGCAAATACTGGGCATGCACCGGCTCCTGAATGTACCTGAACCCGCTCCAGTGTTGGTCAAGTCTTCTCTTGAAAGAGCTCACACTCGGTGCCGTCACAACACTCTCTGGTAGATTGTTCCAAGAGTTTACAACCCTCACTCCGAAAAAGTTTGCCCACACGGTTTTCTGGACTTGCGGCTTCTTCAATCTTGAGCTGTGACCCCTTGTGGGGCGAGCGTCCGCCAGCTCCAAGTAAGGACACTCAACTGAGTAGTGCCCCCTGAGATGCTTATAAACCTCAACTAGGTCCCCCCTTGCCCGTCTGTAGTATAAGCTAGGCAAGTTCAGGCGCTCCAATCTCTCAGGGTAGCTGAGGTGCCGAAGTGCAGGCACCAGTTTGGTGGCCCTCCTTTGAACATTTTCAACCAACTGACAGTCCCTAGCATATCTCGGGGACCAGATGGGGTGACAGTACTCCAGATGGGGAAGCACTTCACTCCTGAAGATCGTCACGAGGGACGGACCGTCTAGATATCTGAACGACCTTCTTATAAGACCCAATAATTTATTTGCCTGATTTACCTTCTTCTCACAATGGCCCGAGAACTTCAGCTCATTGTCAACATACACACCTAGGTCCTTCTCACACACAGTCTCAACTAGTACATTTTCTTCATCCCGTTGGGACATATGGTACGCCTCCTTACCGTTGGTACGCCCCAGGTGCATCCTCTTACACTTCGTGACATTGAATCTCAGCAGCCATTCCTTCGACCATTCCTGGAGCCCACAGAGGTCCTTCTGCAGCTCTTCACAGTCCGCTTGGTTCTTAATTTCCCGAAATAACTTGCCATCATCGGCAAACATTTGTATGGAGGAGTGTACAACGTCAGGCATATCATTTATGAAACAAACAAACAACAGCGGGCCCAATACACTACCCTGCGGTACCCCACTTGTTACAGGTACAGATGACGATTTCGTGCCATTAATCACCACACATTGCTTGCGGTCATGTAGAAAGTCTTCTATCCACGCTAGGACATTTCCCCGAATTCCGTACCCTTCCAGTTTGATTTTCAGCCTTTCGTGGGGTACACTGTCGAAAGCCTTGGCAAAATCTAGGTAAATATTGTCGATATTACCACCCCGTTCTAGAATATGGGTCCAAATATCCAATACCTTGAGCAATTGTGTCAAGCAAGAGCGCCCCGGCATAAAACCGTGTTGGCAATCTTTTACAAGGTTGTTTCGTAGTAGATGTTCCATCGCTGCATCTCTGATAATACTCTCAAGTACTTTACATATTATGCTGGTCAGGCTCACCGGTCTATAGTTGTTCGTGGAGTGACTATCGCCCTTCTTGAAGATAGGACTCACATAAGCCACTTTCCATTCACTGGAGACCATTTGTTCATCCAGGCATTTACAAAACAGAATCTTCAGGGGCTCTGCAAGCTCGTTGCACAGCTCCCTTAGCACTCTAGGATGCACCATGTCAGGTCCAGGACTCTTATGGACCTTTAGCCTGGACAGTTTATTTCTAATACCCTCTTCTGTGAACACAATGTGGGTCAGTGCTGTGTCGAACCGTCTGTCCTCAAACGCAGGAAGGTTAGTTGCATCCTCTCTTGTGAACACTGAGGAAAAGAAGCTGTTCAATGCCTCAGCTTTATCCTGGTCAGAATCTGCGTAACTACCATCTTCAAGCCTCAGGTCTGATACTCCTACTCGCGTTTTCAATTTCGACTTTGCATAGCGGTAAAACGCCTTTGGGTTTGACTTGACCTCGCGTGCAACCAGCCTTTGGAACTCCTTTTCAGCCCTCCTACACTCTATCTTTGCTTGGTTTCTGGCTCTTGCATACATCCTCCTGTCTTGCTCATCGTTTGACCCAACCCACGTCTTGAATTTCTGGGTTTTCTTCTTAATTTTGTCGACCGCCGCATGGTTCATGTGTAGGGATCCCCTCGTATTCCTAGAAGCACTGGGTTTGGTCTTGGGTATATATTTATCGATCAAATGGGTCATTTTACTAGTTATGATATTCAGCGTAGTGTCTGCGTTCTTGTACCTTAATAAGTCAGGCCAGTTGATACCCCTCATCTCTTCCCTCATCCCATTGTAATTTCCCTTGTAATATTTGCACCTTGGCCTGGCCTTATCTTGAACTAGGTAACAGTTAAATCTGAATGACAACACTGTATGGTGACTGGTGCCAACTGGGGCAAGGTGTTCCAGTTTGGCCACCATACCCTCCTCGTTTGTTATGATGAGGTCAAGTGGCTTGGGTGTTTGCTCCCCTCTGTAATGTGTCGGGTCTCTCACATGTTGGAACAGAAAATTATCTCTCAGAGTTTCTACAAAAAGAGTAGCAGGATTATTCAAGTCATTCGGGGTGGACTCGTTTCTCCAGTCGATGTCGCCATAGTTAAAGTCCCCCATGATAAGGAGGTGGCTGGGGTTGAGCATCGCCGCATTGTTTATTAAGGTTCTTAAGTTCCTTTGATTTAGTGGGCCACAGTTCGGGGATCTGTAGATACACCCGACGATAAGTAAGTCCCCTCCCTTTAATTTAATTTTACACCACTTGGACTCTTCAAAAACATCCTCTCCCTGTACCCTCGCCTGGCTGGCTCTAAGGTCTTGCCTAGCGTAGATAACCACACCCCTCCTGCAGGATTCTTGAGTTAGGTTCGTAAATGAGTCATATCCAGCAATACTGAACTCACATTCCTCTGGGTCGATTCTCCTGTTCTTGTACAACAGTTCTACAACTCCTACAATATCTGGTTGGTGTACTCTTAGTAGTGTTTCAAACTCCTCTCTCTTATCAAGGAACGTGTCAGTATTAGTGTACATGACATTCAAGCCAGAATTTGTTCTCGGTAACGTAAAGCTTATTTCTATACTGCAGCTTGTGTGCAATACAGTGGTCCCTCAGTTAACGAGCACAATCCGTTCCAGCAGGTTGCTCGTTAACCAAAAAACTCGTTAACCGAAACCATTGTTTCAATGGGTTTTTGGGTAATTGGTTCCAGCTCACCGAAAATTGCCTAATTTCAACAAAAAAGGTAGAAAAGTACACTTACTTTGATGTGTGTATGTAGAAGGCTCCTGGATGATGATGATGGGAATTAGAATGGGGGTGGAGGAGAAGGAAGAAGAGAAGGCATTGGGGTGGAAGAGAAGTCACCCCATGGCACCATTTCACCCATAAAATTTTAGTTCTCTTGGTGTATTTCAAGATTATTTTCTTTAAATCAACACTGCACTGCATTATATATTGTCAATATGTAAAATATATTTCAAAATGACCAATAATTTGCTTGGAAACACAGAAAAAAGCGTTTAGTTCAAGAGAGTCTCAAGCTAGATGTTACCTCCACTGAAAACAGAGAGAGACTAACGCCTGTCTGGTGTGTTAACAGGCTGGATGGCACTCCAGAAACTAGTTTCTTTACCTTCAATTATGTTCAATAATTGTTAAAATTACAAAAAAAGTTAATATTAAACTTTTAAAATTATTGAATAGTATAAACTTCTTGATATTTACTAAAATAGTAAGGAATTTAAGCCCTAAAACCAATTACTGTATTGGAGGACTAATACTACAGCTGGTGGACCGCCAAATGCAAGCGAAAACATGTTGAAGTCGGCTCGTAAAAAACTCGTTAATCGAGGGATTGCTCGTTAACCGAAGTTAAGAATCTTATGGAAGGTAAATCGTTAACCGAAATCTCGTTAACCGAAATCTCGTTAACCGAGGCGCTCGTTAACCGAGGGACCACTGAATAAAGATGGACTGTATTTATTTGCAAATCTAAAGGATATATATTTCAGAAAGCAAGATGGATACATGGCTGCAGACTTGCCTCTTGCTCTGCCTGTATGGCTTCTTCAAGGAGATGAGGCCATCTGAACCCTTCCTTACTGAATACTTGATGGGACCACAGCAAAACCTCACTTCCGACCAGGTACTATACTGGCTGGCCAACTATCCTGCCACCCTCTAGCAGCATGTACACTGTGTAAAGTACAGTACAGCACTAATTGCTTTCTAAAGACATTCATCCTTACATATTCTTGTTTAAAAAATATATATTTTACATTTTCATTTTCTTTACTTCATCTTAATGAAGGCAGATGTTTGAATACCTTAGGGAGGATCAACCTTGACTTGCCAGCTAGGAGGGCACTTTAAAGTTCTACGTATTTTGTCTTGTTCACACTCAGTAAAAGTGGGTTGGTGATAGGAAGAGCATCCATCTGTAAAACTTGTTTCAAATCTGTCTGATGGCAACCACGACACAGTGCCATCAGGTAGTCATGGCTGACCCATACATATGTGGAGACTGGAGGAGGGGATGCTCTCTTGAGTGAATGGGCTCTTCATGGATAGGGTTTTTATGAAGAGAAGCATTTACAGTACTATAACCTAACAACCATTCCGGGTGACTGGCTTTATGCAACTAGAACCCTGAATGACTTTTCCAGAAGCATGAGTTACCAAAAGACGTGTTGAATCACAAAAACAGTCTGCCTTCACCCAAGCACTTGCTTGGTTGTAACCCAGGGCCACAGCAGCAACCCAAATTTAGTCCCAACCCAACTGCTTTCCTCAATGTGATTGAGCACTCATGCCTCGCATATACCAGCAGATAAGTGCTTGAGTATACTACAGTATTTCTTTTAGCTTTTGTAAAGGATTAGCTGGATTGACCACACGGTCATTATATTTATAAAGGTAAGGCAATTCTCCAGTGCAGTTATACACCATCCTGTAGCTTCATACTGCGAGAGTTTTCATTTTTTGGTGTTTCACATTTTGAACCTCACCAGCCAGTTGGTTTGTAAAAAAATCTAAATCCTCAGTAAGTGACTGAGACTCCTTTACCAGTTGTATATTTCTGAAGCAGGAGTCAGTAACGTATCAGCTATATTTGTTCATTTAGTCTTCTCAGCTAGTATATGTGCTACTGTACTAAGATAATGAATGTCTGTTTTGCTTGCAGGTGACTTATGATGTGTACCCAGTGTGGACATATTCCTACCTCGCTCTTCTGATTGTAGTATTCCTGCTGACTGACTTGTTGAGGTACAAGCCAGTCATTGTTTTCGAGGGTATTGGTTATGTTATCACGTGGAGTCTTCTGCTATGGGCTCGGGGCGTCAGGGCAATGCAGTTTATGGAGTTCACGTACGGTATTGCCACATCCACTGAAGTAGCGTACTTTACCTATATCTATGCAAAGGTGGCCTCCAAGTTTTATCAAAGAGTGACGAGCTACACCCGTGCTGCCCTGCTCGCTGGCAGGTTCATGTCTGGTATACTTGCACAGGTAAGGCTAATGCTTTGAATGTGTGCATTAATTGTTTTATTACTACTGTAGATATCTTATAATTAATTTACTGTACAGGCTTAACAATGGGGGGGAAGGAGCATTAGTACTTCAGTTTATAAGTTATTATATAAGTACTGTATAGAATGATGATGGGGACTCCATTCTTTTATATAAAAAAAAACACGTAAGAAATGTTGATATACTGGAGTCAATAAAATCAGTTCTAAATTCCTAATTAAGTTAGACATGCCATTTTTTTTTTGGGCAAAAATAATACTAAATAGTTTATCTAAAAGTTTGGTTAAATAAATATATTAAAAAATAAATAAAAATCTATATGATACAGGCGTGATTGGAGCTGTGTATTACAACACGGAGCTGTATTTATTTACCGGTACACAAACTATATGTATAATATATTGTTAATACTGTAAACAAAATAATGTATACTACTACTACTACTACTACATATACTGTAAACAGTACTATACTCACTAGGAGATGCTGTCATCTTGAACCTAGAGTAGGTAAAAACTGTCCACTCAGCTGAATGTAATATGTACTGTACAGTAATCATTTTTGTTGCTATATTTTGTGTACTCCTTTGCTTTATAATTTAGTTATGAAATCTCAAGTGTTTTTTTTTTCTTCAGAGTTTTGAAAATCTTTCTAAAATTTATAGGTGCTGACATCAACAAGACTGATGGACTACCACACTCTAAACTACATCTCCCTTACAAGCGTTTCAGTGGCCTTCATAATAGCGTGTTGTCTTCCAGCAGTTTCAACCAGCATTTACTTCCACCGTCAACAGTATCTCACGACTAATGAAGGAGAGAGTAGCGTGCGTCTCACTGACATTAATTCAAAAGAATCACTTCATGCAAAAATAACAAAGGTAACACTGAGGCTGTGACTTCATCTAAAAGTTTTCAGCGAGTTTCAAGTACTGTATACATCATGTGACCCCAGATGTCCACTGACTGTTAATATGTGAACATATATGACACCAGAACAAAGGATTTCCTTTTTGTCTCCCCTTTCTATTGGTAATTTACTTTTCCAGTGATTATTTTAATTCACCAAAGTCAAACAATTGAATGAATATAATTTTATGGTGTCTGATTATATCATCTTAAACATACAGTACAGTACTATCATAATTCCAGGTTGCCGGATTCGTCTGGAATGACTTTAAAAGTGCATACACCAACAAATATTTGCTTAAGTGGTCCATTTGGTGGGCTTTTGCCACGTGTGGAAATTACCAGGTGGGTAATTATATCCAGCCTCTGTGGGAGAGTATTGCTCCAATGGATCAAAATGATCAGTTGTACAATGGAGCAGTGGAGGCAATACAAACATTGCTCAGTAAGTAAGAGTTGCATTCTTTCTTATAATCCAATCATTATCTCACCTTCTTGGACCATCAACAGCTTACTAGACATTCGTGTACTGAAGTTGCTCACTTCCCTACTCCCCACTGGGAGGTACAGGCTCTTGGATGTACAGTACATTACTCAGATATATATCAGGGCTGGTCAAACCTAAACTTAAAAAGAATTCACTGTGAATTCTTTATAAGTGTGAATTATTCACACTTGGTACAGTCACAAAATCACTTGTAGGTTATTTCAAGAGTTCACATATCTTGCTGTAAAGAAATTAGTTGTGACAGTTTTCTGTGCTGGAAGCTTCTTCACCTGGAGACGTTTTTCTCTAGCACAGTAATTATTAGCTTTTTGTAGATATGTACTGGTGCATCTTCCAAGTGCATACAGCACTCTCCTTCTTTCTTAAGGGTTGCTGCTTTGAACACAGGGCACCTCTAGTGCACCCAGCTGTGAATCAATGCAGTACAGTACCTGTTTATAAGTTGGGGACTGAAGACTTAGTATGCAGTGGGCTCTATGTGCACTGCCTCTAATCCCAGACGATTTTATTCAGCACAGAGATTTATACCAGTAAACAACTATAAATAGTTAAGTCTTGCTCTATCTATCTCCAGTGAGCTGTAAGGAATATAGGTACAGGACTCTGTTACTAATTCTTATTGATTTTAACATGAATTTTACTTCAATTTTTTTTAAATACTGCCCTGAGAGAATGTAAAAACTACAGTTATGTAGCCAGAATCAGCAGTTCTAGTAATCAGTAATAAAATTATTGTAGATTGTCATGTAATGGTGACCAAGAATTTGTGTTGGTAACAGGAACTGGGGAAAGTACTCTGTCCACAAGTAAGTCATTTATTCAATTTGGATTTGTATTCATAAATCTGACTGATACAATAATCAATACAGTATACTGTACTGTATTTTCATTTTTGCAGGTTCTTTGGCAGCATTCAGTGTGGGTTATATTCACTTCAACTGGGAGCTGTTTGGTGAGGGAACACTTGCCATTATCTCCTTGCTTGATGGTCTTCTTCTGCTCTTCATGGGTTTATCATCATCCATCATAGTGGGTTACCTCAACTATATCCTCTTCAGAATTTCTTACCAAGTTCTTATTACCATTGCCAGGTAAGTCCCTATGTTACATTAATACTCTTACTTTTATCCTCTTTCCTGTTCGCCACTGATCTGCTCTTTAGCCACTTGGGTGGTCGGTCACGTCACTGTTACACACTGTTGGCAAATACTGGGCATGTAATGGCTCCTGAATGTATCTGAACCTGCTCCAATTTTGGTCAAGTCTGGTCTTGAAAATGCTCACTCAGTGCCATCACAACAATCTCTGGCAGATTGTTCCAAGAGTTCACAACTTTCACTTTAAATAAGTTTGCCCTCACAGTTTTCTGGACTTACGGCTTCTTCAACCTTGAGCTGTGACCTCTAGTGGGGCAGGCGTCTGCCACCTCCAGGTATGGACACTCGACTGAGTAGTGTCCTCCGAGACATTTATAAACTTGAATTAGGTCACCCCTTGCCCATCTATAGTATAAGCTAGGCAGTAGCAGGTGGTCTAATATCCCAGGGTAACTGAGGTGCAGGAAGACTCCACTGTATGCAGTTCAGCGTGTGTATAAAAAAGGCGGGTACAGTATACTGGTTATAAAAGCCATGGAAGAACATACAAATTCCAGTGTACTGTACCTTGACAGTGCAGGTATACATACAACAAAAGTAAATAGTAAAGGATAGCCGACCCTGATATAAGCCAATCTACCCTCCATAAGTTAGTCTCAAAACGATTTTTATCCATTTATTTGGTATTCACTTAAAACATTTATTTTAGTAGCCAGTGTGTTTCTGGTTGAGTAGTGGATAATGTACTCAAAATATTGTTAAAAATACTCTTTTTTTCAGTTATCAAGTTGCCAAACAACTGACAGCTGATAGTTATGGTTTGGTGTTTGGCATCAACATGTTTGCATCACTGCTCCTCCAGTCAGTGCTCACCTTTGTGGTTGTGGAGACTTTGGAAGTTGAATCATCAACTCAGGCAAGTTCAAACGAATTTCTATATGTCTTTTTATCCCCAGTATCAGGTGAGGGAACATAAGAATGCTCTGTTCTCCACATCTGTCTGTTTGGGAGTTTTGAACCTGAATGGCTTATAAATAAACTTGATACAGTATGTGGTTATATTACAAGAGCAGTGGTGGATGAAGTACTGGAGAAAGTCACTTGAGTAAAGTACTGGTACAGGTACCTCTTTATGATGTTATTCCTTAACTTAAGATTGATTTTAGGGGGATGGAGCTGCTGCTGATGGGGGTAATTTAAACTAACCAGATAGGTATAGAGGGTCTTGTTGTGGATGGGGAGCATTGTAGTAGAACACATGTATTACGGCAATACTGTACAAGTTAATGAAGAGTCTGTTGTTTTTCCTGCCACTCTGTGTTATAGCATGAAAAGGCTTGAGAGTGAAAGATAAATCTGGTTCATGTGATATAATAAACTGTTCTCTCTTTCATCAGTTCATCATTTACGGTTCTTACTACATGATCCTTGCTCTCGTCTTCTTCCTGCTTTCGACATATACATGTGCAAAGTTGGGCTGTGATGGGATTAGAGAAATTGACGTGTGGGAGCCACAGCCAGATTGTTCAAACCAAGAGCCTCCTTTGGGAACTACAGAAGCAGTGTAAGGATAAAATATTTGTATATGTGTCACAGCAGATTTGGCAACACATTTACAGTATACATGTTGTAGTCGACCTTAAATTTATGTCTGGACTTGTTGTATTGCTAATTTTTATTTGGGGGTCGTATTTTTTGTTTTCATATAAAGTACTTATGTTGACTGTTCTCTGTGGAATACAGTATTGTCAATTGAAATTTTCTGATTACTGTACTGTAATGTTATAATTGTATGTGCCGAACATTATAGTTGATTAATTATTAATGGATTTTTAGCTCTTTATGGATGATGCAGGATTTCAGATGTGACCAGCAAGATTGTCTAATTGTCATCACTAAATGGTACCTGTGCAGCCATCAAAGCCATGTTACAATGGTAATGTTTGCATACATTGTTAATAACACTGACACAGCTTAAATAAACCACTAATTCAAGGTGGCTTCATAAAAGGTTGATAAACTGGGCTCCTGTCAATAATATTCTGTGAATCGTGCCTAAAATTTCAAACCCCCTTAACCATAACTGATGAGTCAAACAAAATGGGCCATTTACATTCCCCATATTGAGCAGATATAGGATAACAGTGGGCAGGTTTGGCTCGGTTATCTATCCCTTCCATTTCCACTGCACGTGGACTAACTTGTGTTCACAACACAGCCTCTTGGGATCAAGATACATTAGCTTATGTAATTCTCAAATTACAGTACTGTACAGTACTGTACTGCTAACTCACATGGAACATGTTCATATTCCAGTAGGTTTTATCTTGAATTTTTATCTAATAGTTTTATGTAAACATGAATTATGATCACAGTGTTATTTCATTGATTTGGTGTGAAAAGTTCCTTTCTTTGTAATAATCCTTATTCACTTTCATAGGTGAAATTGTGATGAACAAAATCCCTGTCTTTGTCACTGTCTTTCTGTTTCAGTTAGGACAAACTCTGCTGTTGTGACTTTCCCTGTACAGCACAGTATACTGTACTGTACTGTATATAAATTAATTTGGTTAAAGGTAAACCAATTTAAGTTACTGTACAGTATTATGGTTCTCTTTATGTTATAATTTTATGGTTATAATTTAACTAATTGTCTTCGATTTTAATGCTTTTGGTGAATGTTTTAGTTTTATTCATGACTACAGTAGATACCATTCTGATTCATCTTAAGCCTTAAGCCTTTTTCTGAGGATGATTGTTGCATATATCCAAAATTACTTTGCTTTATTTATGCTTGCCATGCTTAATTTGATGTAACAGTTTTAATCAGATCAGGTTCAGCCTTTTTATAGCATTAACCGTATAAGAACCAGCTGCTTAAGCAGTTCTTCAATTTTTTTATTACCAGGGTCCTTGATTACCTTCCTGGAGAATCAAAATTTTAGAACAGAAAGTGGAGAAATGGTGAAAACAGTGAGACCAATGGCAGATATCCAGGAGAAGGAGGAAGTGAAGGTGGCAGTCAACAGGATGAAGAGAGGGAAGCTATAGACCATTAAATGTATTAGTGCACTAGGTGAGGGTGTTGAGGGGCTGTTGGGTCAAGGGCAGTAGACCTTTGGAGTGATGGAAAGATACTGGAGGAAAAGTAAGATACAGTAATGCCAATATACAGACATAGGGTGACATCATGAAGAAAAAATTTAGCTGATGGAACATAGACTTTGAAGGCATTGGTAGACCATAGGTTTAGGGAAATAGTGAACAGTGACGATATGCAGTCTATATTTGTGAAAGGGAAAAGAAAGGAAAAGTGGTTGTTATGTACATCATATTAGAAATCCAGGAGAAAGATTCTGAGGGAAGCAATATTTCTTATTTGTAGATCTGGAGAAGTTACATGACAGAATCCTAAAAGGAGTGGTGGACAGTCAATGGGGTACCAGGGGAAAAGGGATCACGGCCCTAGACGGCACTTTCTAATGGGTGACATTTTGGGGGTGTAAATTAAGATTTGAATAAGTGGCAAAGCTTTTAAATTTTTCAATAAGGCAAGAATCCTAATGCCATAGTAATGTGTCTTTCACCGTAAAAGATATTTTCCGCATAAAGCAAAGGACTTATTTGCCTCAAATCTAAGTCAGTAGGAAAGACATCATCCACAGTACTTAACCTTTGCATGGCCAGGGACAGAGATAGTGCCCCCCCCCCTTCTTCCTTGAATATCTTTCATTAAAATATATTTTAGAAGCTGCTATTCTCAGTAGATGTACGTAGCATGAAATGTTTTCCATCAGAAAATGCTGACTACAAGTATCAACAACCTCCATGACCTTAACGTTGACCCAAAAACAGCAGCAGGTCAAGGAACAAGAACCTGTTTCATTGCCTTAGTCTGGTATGTTAGTGCAAGTCTAGTTAGAAATTTTTGGAAATAAAATTTTGCAGAAAACAATGCACATTGCAAATGCTCTCAATGCACTATTTTCAATGCTATTCATGAGAAAAATACCCAAAGTGATTGTATTGTGCAAGGTTTCACAGAAAGAAATTACACACACTACTGTGTCGGCTACAAATGCGGAAATCCAACACTGGCCCCAACTTTTCACAAACTTTTAATTGTGATTAAATACACGTTAAAAATATTTATAAAGTTTGAGTACAATTTGGTAGAAAAAAATCTTGTCCATTGAATAACATTAATTTTCTAGATGATTCAACCAGTAGGTCTGAAGTTAGACAGGGATGCATGCTGCTCAAACTTCTGTCAGTACTATCACCTTCTCTGGTACTCTTAACCACATACACTTTTCTCTTACGGTATCCTCTTTTCCACTGGTTGGCTCATTAGTCACTTGGGCGGTCGGTCACATCTCTGTTACGCACTGTGAGCAATTACTGGGCATGTATTGGCTCCTGAATGTATCTGTACATATGCCAGTGTGGAGTGAACATCTGCCAGCTCCAGGTATGGACACTCGACTGAGTAGTGCCCTCTGAGATGTTTATAAGCTTCAGTTAGGTCACCCCTTGCCCATCTATAGTATAAGCTTGGCGGTTGCAGGCATTCTAATCTCTTTGGGTAACTGAGGCGCTGTACTGCAGGCACCAGTCTGGTGGCCCTCCTTTGGACTTTTTCAGTCAATTGACAGTCTCTAGCATATCTCGAGGACCAGACGGGGTTACAGTGCGCCAGACAGGGAAGCACCTCACTTTTGAAGAGCGTACGAGGGACAGACGTAGATATCTGAACGACCTTCTTATGCACCTTCTTTTCTTCTTCCACACATGAAGGGGTTTTCTTAAAAAGCATCTCCCTGTTAAAGCCAAAGACATTGGCCATACTGTACTGTACTGTACTGTACAAGCACCAACTAGCAAAATGCTGACAATCTCTCAGGTCTTGTCTTTGCTTTTATTTTTATTCTACATCTACAATTATTAACCTGAATTTACCTAATTTATTTGTCTACCTAATTACATGGATGTAAAACTGTACCATTCCATGCTTAATTTTTATATACAGTATTCTTGTTTGTATACTGTACTGTATATGACCCTATTTATAATAACTGTAACAGACAAATGATGTGCTCTATTTTATTTAAAAGTTGAGTATGAAGCTGATACAAATATTAACAATAATTCTTAAAGATTTTAGGAGATGTGTTTTGGACAAATACTGTACATTAGAAGTTGAGATACATGAATGGGACTAATTACTTTATTTGTAGCTTATTAAGTTTTAAAAGAATTATTGCAGTGATAAAGTAGACTAGAAGTTTGTTAATTATTTGAATAGCATGAATGATAAGAAAGGATTATAGAGAATGTGTGTGATAAAAGTGAGATGTGAATAAGAAGGTTATGTGAAAGGGGAGAATGTTGGCTGGGTCTCCCTGTGTGATGACCTTCAAGAGACAATTGTACAAGTGTAGTGAAAAGAAAGATATGTTTAATAAAATTCTGAAAATACTGTACTCTATGTTGTAAATCCACTAACTATAGTGAGATACAGGCAGGTGAAGACATTGAGCAGACTTATATGGATATGCATAAATTTATAGACTACAACAGCATACCAATACATACTATACAGTATACTATCGGAACATTTATATACTTTTTCATGAAATTATAATTACGTACCATAATTAATTAAAACAGTTGTGTTAATGTTACGTTATCTTTTTGTGGTTGAGCAGAAGAGAAACTTGCCCTAATTGGTGTAAGCTTGTAGCTACACATATATTTTTTTAGATATGCCTCTTAAAATAGCTAGAGCTTAAACAATATTTAGAATGCTATTTGCAGGGTGTATGTACAATAGTACAGTACTGTGTAAAAACACTGTACAGTAGCAACACATGGCTGTGCTTGGAGATCCTTAAGTTTTGTACAAGAATGTACACTGTACTGTACTGTACTGCACAAGTTATAAGTACTTTATACAATAGTGCAATATATGTATCATAATAAATTAGCAATGTGTGGAGAATAACCAAGGATAAAATTATAGTAATGTACACCTTTGTGAGCAGTGTGTGGTTAGCTGTGGGTGCTGTATACAGAAGGTGTTTGGGGAAATTCCTGGGCTTGCAGTAGGGAAGAAAAGGAATACCAAAATGAGGGTATTAAAATCCTCGCTAATTTTTGAGGGGAAAAAAAGAGTAATAAAGGGTCTGTGTACAGTGGTCCCTCGGTTAACGAGCACAATCCGTTCCAGCAGGTTGCTCGTTAACCGAAAAACTCATTAACCGAAACCATTGTTTCAATGGGTTTTTGGGTAATTGGTTCCAGCTCACCGAAAATTGCCTAAATTCAACAAAAAAGGTAGAAAAGTACACTTACTTTGAGGTGTGTATGTAGAAGGCTCCTGGATGATGATGATGGGAATTAGAATGGGGATGGAGGAGAAGGAAGAAGAGAAGTCACCCCATGGTGCCATTTCACCCATAATATTTTAGCTCTCTTGGTGTAATTCAAGATGATTTTCTTTAAATCAACACTGCACTGCATTATATATTGTCAATATGTAAAATATATTTCAAAATGACCAATAATTTGCTTGGAAACTCAGAAAAAAAGCGTTTAGTTGAAGAGAGTCTCAAGCAAGATGTTACCTCCACTGAAAACAGAGAGACTAACGCCTGTCTGGTGTGTCAACAGGCTGGATGGCACGCCAGAAACTAGTTTCTTTACCTTCAATTATGTTCAATAATTGTTAAAATGACTAAAAAAGTAAAGAAAAAACTTTTAAAATTATTGAATAGTATAAACTTCTTGATATTTACTAAAATAGTAAGGAATTTAAGCCCTAAAACTGATTACTGTATTGGCGGACTACCTGTAATACTACAGCTGGTGGACCGCCAAATGCAAGCGAAAACATGTTGAAGTCGGCTCGTAAAAAACTCGTTAATCGAGGGATTGCTCGTTAACCGAATTTAAGAATCTTATGGAAGGTAAATTGTTAACCGAAATCTCGTTAACCGAGGCGCTCGTTAACCGAGGGACCACTGTATAGAGTAGTTCCTATGCACATATTTACTGTATAATAACCTGTACAGTACTGTACCGTACTTCCAATTATTCACATTCTTTCCCTTTCCAGGGCAGCTAGCTCACCCAGCCTCCCATTTATTTTAGTTGTTATCTTTTAAGAACTGATCCATTTATCTCACACTTATCCTACATTTTTACTTCCTTTTTATTTACTGGTATAATACTGTCAATTTGTAAAGGTAATCAAAATTAGCTTAACATGTCGTTCAAACCTGTAATGCTAAAGGAAATTACAAAGAGGAAACTTAAAAGAGGAAGGAATATGAAAGGTCATTAAGCCAATAAAAATGGATCAGTTAAATATGTACACATAAACTGAGTGAGATTTGGAGACAAAAGAAAATAAAGAAAAATAAACATTGACATCAGGAGCTCTTGTCCCGGTAAAGATTCAGTAGAGGAAAGAAAATGAAATAAAAAGGTACTGTATATCTTATGTATTTAATTGATGTTGATTTAAAAGAATATGAGCCTTTCTTTGGTGCATTTTAATATTTATAAAGATATTAGCCCCAAAATAAAGGTCATATTCTCTTAAATAATCATCATTTACATAAGAAAACCCTATTTATTTGATTGTTTTTCCTTTATTTATATCCTCTACCAAATATTTACTCCTGCCTCCAGATTAGGTGAAGATGACAGTACTGTACAGGTTTCTGGTCTCATTGGTTTCCTCCCACAACACACACACACACACACACAGAAAGTAGTGATCCCTTACTTATAAATACTGCTTGGTCCTAAGGCTGTGAACAAAGTAGGGAACATTGTGATATACTGTAAATAAGACCATGTAAAAAAAAAAATGGGGGTTTCTCAGATTATTTATTTTAAGAAAAGCAGCATGGAGAGGCAGGACTTTCTCCATTTTACAAACATTAAACATCTATACCCTTCATATTTTCATGTCAATCTTTCTCATCTGACAAACTAGAAAGAATGTCATTTGAATTTACTTTTACTTACTTTTATCCTCTTCACCACTGATCGGCTCGTTAGCCGCTTGGGCGATCGGTTATGTCTCTGTTACACACTGTTGGCAAGTACTGGGCATGCACTGGCTCCTGAATGTACCTGAACCTGCTCCAGTGTTGGTCAAGTCTGGTCTTGAAAGAGCTCACACTCGGTGCCGTCACAACACTCTCTGGTAGATTGTTCCAAGAGTTCACAACTCTCACTCCGAAAAAATTTGCTTGCTTGGATATAATGTAAGTTCTTCATATAAAACCAGTGGACAGACCATTTACCCCCCCCCCCCTTTTTTAAGTACAGGTAATGTACTGTTGAAAATGATACAGTAGTTCTAACACTTGCCAGTTGGTACTACTATCAGATAATTTCTCGAGCCAGTTCATGTCCAGTACTTGCCAACAGTACGTAACAGAGAAATAACTGAGCCCCCAACAAGCTAGAGCCAACTAGTGGCAAAGAGTATAAAGTGTTTACCGGTATTTTCTGGAGGCAATGAAATGGATCTAGTTGCAGGTTTTATGAACACGCTACAGTGTTTGAGAATCAAACGTTTTTTTTTACATAGCCTAAAATATGTAAAGAGTGCCTACTGTCCCATAAACAGAAATTTTATTACACTTAGTGTAGTAGGGAAATTTTTGTGAGATACACCTAGAGTATAGGGAGTGAATAATCTTATAAAGTAAAAGTCTGCACAACTAAATTTGTCACATACAGTATTGTACTGTATATAATGCCTCATTTGACACAGTACCATTGTAATTTAACTATAAATGTTAGTATGCATATCAAGAATTTCCACAAGGTTCTACCAATTGTGCCATTAACCAGAGCTCTTAGAGCTGCTACTTATTTAAGAAAAGTAACGGACGTGACCGATCGCCCAAGTGGCTAACGAGCCGAAGTGGTGAAGAGGATAAAAGTAAATAACCTACTCGATGCATATTCATAATATTTTACTGGGGTTACTGTCGGGGTATCTTGAAAGTAACCATTCTTTTAGGCCTCAGGAATGATTTCCTCAATATGCAGACTTCTACTGTAAGCGTTGTTCTGCAGTAATCACTTACTCGGTGAATAATGCATTTGTTCTTGTGATTAAAATTTTAATTTTTCTTATGGTGGAATGTACAGTACAGTGTATTTATAGATTTGATGTACAAATAAATATTGTTGATAAATGTTGATAGTTTTATTTCATCAATATTATTACTTTTACAGATAATTCATGAAACGGGGAATGATGTTAATTATATTGCTCAACTTCTTAAGATAAGTTAATACACTACAGCAAGTTAAGGCATCGCATTTTACACCTCAAGATGTTTATACTTTTACTTTTTTCCTTTTGGTCTAAGATGAATTTGTATAGGCTTAAAATTTTAAGTGAAATAGATTTGGGTCGAGATTCTTCTGGTGATCTAAAACACTTTCTTCTTTACGATCATTAAGGCTAGGAATAATCCACCCAACCACATCAACAGAGTAATTTCTTGTCACGTTTAATACATTCATAATTTTTTATTAATAGATTTATTGACCACAAACCCACAAAATGACCCTAAGAGAAAAAGCTGGAAACTGTGTCCACTGATTCAGGGAACTACATACACTGTACAAGGAAAAGGTGTGTACAGTATATAAGAAAAGGGTGTGTATTGTACAAGAAAAGTAAAGAATATAAAAGGAAACGATAAAGATTGAAAGGAAAAGGTTTAAATAGCAAAACGTATAGAGTACTGTACTAATTAATATACTTGTACAAGGAAAAGGTGTAGAGAACAAATTAGGAAATGCTGGAGGGAATGTATACAGTACAGTATATTCAGTCTCTAAGGAAAGGAGGATTCAGAAAAAAAAAAGAAAACTTGGTCGTAAAGGAAATCCAGATTCTTCCAGTGAGTCAGTTTCTGGTAATATATAAATATAATGAAATTATCAAGACAATAATTTAAGTAGTTTGCGTGAGCGACTTAGCATCAAATTATTATATTGTGATGTTTGCGCTTTATAAACTATAGCATTGTCAATAGATAAATATTTATTCATAGATATATATTTAAGCAGTAAAATCATCATACAACTTCACAATGGTTGAACCTGGTATACAATGGCAAACAGGAAGTCAATTCAACAGGGGCTACCAAGTAAGCCCTTAAAAGCTTACTACTACCATTTCAATTGCATTTCCTCTGAGCTATATTCATAAATGATGTATTATACAGCAGCCAGAGCACAGTGACAAGGGAGCACGTATCGCCACATGCTGTACTGTATCTCGTCTAGCAGAAGGTCTATTGATTACGTCGTTACACAAGTTGTCAACAGATGGCGGGAGTTGTCAGTAGTGACGACTAACAGAATCCTTCTCCACCACCTATATACAGTACAATGTGTGGTGTGGTATTAATCAACGCCAGATATTGTCTCTACGGTCATTTATATCATGCTTCATTATCTAAAATATCTTAATTAGAAGCTACATCCAATTGCATCACAAAGGGCCGAGTCATTCAGATATGAACGGCAAGAGTAGGGCTATTCTGTCGAGGTGGTTGGCGTGAGTGTGGTGTAGACAATATATATTTATCATATGTACTTTGGTTATGGCACCACCTTTATCATACTTCCACTAAAAATAAGAAATATTAAACCTTTATATTGATATTAAAAAAATCTATATTTCCAGATAAATTTCTTTCGTGTAGCCACCAATATATAAACCACATTAGCCTATCTTTTAAAATATAACCATTGATTACAATTAAAAACATGGTTACATCACGTGTAGGTGTGGGAGTTTCTCTTCGAAGTATCTAAATGAAACTTCCGCTGCCTTATAAATTTTCTCCCTGTAAATATCCTTAAAAATTATCTTTCTCAATTTTAGTTATCATTTTACTTCTATATTTCACATCAGTATATAACAATACCTGTAAGTCAACACAGCTGCCTGATGTGTTACGGTCCCATAATTCCTTTAGTAATAACATTGTAAACTTTTTGATTGTTGGGTGAGAGACGAAGGTTCGGTGACGGGATTCGGGAGCTCATTGCTTCATGTT